TTAAAAAAAAGAGCAGTACTCTACTTGACCAGAATCTCCTCCTTTTCTGATTAAAAAGAACCAATAATTGTTCTTAATAAAACTCTTAAACGGGTTGCAAATTACCTGTCTGGATAGGATATTTGGATACATTCTGTTTGCTTTGTTATTCAAGGTGAGTGAAAACCCAGCACATAAACACCTATGAAATACAAGCTTTTAAGGTTGTATTAATGTTACTATTTTAACAAAGGAAGAAACACTTCAGATTCTTTTATATGTGGTTTCATTTATCAATGAAAAGAAGTGCCTTAACAAGTAAAATAATGAAAAAAACATTGTTTTCCTAAGGCATAGAGATGCATATAGAAGATATTTGTATGTACATAGGATACATAGTATGTATTTATAATGCTGGGCGCTAGTGAAATTCCTCACACAAAACCCAAAGTTGAAGGAATATTACTTGTAAATATGAGCAATATTTATCTCCAATTTTGTTAAAACTTCCCATTTTACAATTGTGTTTCTTTTTTTCTTTAAACCAAAAGGTATCAGCTCTGAACAAAAAGCTAAAGTAGCATTTTTCTCTAAATTTATTCTGTGCATTGGATGTTCAGAATGCTCATATTGATTTACTTCTAAAAACTACCATCGAATACTTCAGGCTGTCCAATGGCTCTGTAGCTTTGCAGCCTCTGATGATACCTCAGGAAAGGCAATATTTGCTTTTTGATAGTTTAGGAAATTTCAAAATTTCACTTAGCTTGTTAATCCACTAACTTGGCTGAACTGAGGAAATTGCACCTGATCTTTTCTGGTTTTCCTCTGGGAATACAGAAAAAGAAAGATCTCTACCTACAAAAAGCCCACATTTTCATAACCACCATAGACCTATACAAGCTGTATGAAATCATATACACCTTCAGACTTTCACTGCACTATTGCAGAAGAAAAATATGTACAAGCATCAATAAATTCCATCTTTTATTTTGCCATTTCCAAGCACTTAACAAGCTCTACAAAGATAATGAAAACCTCTTTTTTATGAAATCAGATTTTACAGGTATACTGTGATGTTTCTAGTCCTTCCCTAACTGCAAATGGTTACTGGTTCTCTTATAAAGCTGGAACTCAATTTTGCATTTATTGCACTGAGACCATGAGATTTTATATGTTTAGAAGAGCTACCTGTGGTAAGTATTTAAATGCAGCATATCCTGGAATATGGATTAATGTACTTTACCTAGAAAAAAAATCCTGCATTTAAGAAAACAAATTGATTTTAAAAATAGAAAGTTCTAAACTGTGCTTTTTGATATAACTGCAAATTTCTCCAGATATGCTGGCATAATTCAGAGCAAAAGCCTGACCTAGAGAACACAATGCATTATAAATTAATTTACCAGAGAGATGATTCCTTCATTTTTATCTCACCTCTAATTCTGTCAGACTTTTCTGAAAAAGTGAAAAGGTCAAACATCAGCTAATTTAACTTATAACATGTTCTCCTTTGTCATATCATATCAGACTGAGGGACAATTTACTTAATTTACAGTACTATTAATGTCATTAGTATATTATGTCCTCTGGACCAAATTCTGCCCTCATTTCCACCAACGAATCTAGACAGACTTACTGTTTTATTAAGGGCAGAATTTGGAACACTTAGCTATCTCTCCTTTTACATGTATTTAAGAAGAGAAAGGCATTTACAAACTGGACATTGTCTGAAATTTCTGAAAGATACTGTCCTTACCAGTTCTTCTCATTTTGTATTTATGCACCAAAATCAGATGCTTAGTTACGTACAATCTAGACCCATACTCAAGAAAGGAGACATAATGTTATTTCTGAGTACTGCCTGTTAGGGGAATCCCAGTTAAAATACAGTTGGGCAGCCATGTGTAGTTTTCTTCAGGCTTGAAGCAAATCTTTATCATGGGAATGCAATTTCATGGACGTTATCATTTAAGAGTCAACCTACATAGGCCTCTGAATAACAGCCAGTTTGAACACTTGTCTTATTTTCTACACATGATGTCCCCTTACAGAGTAGTTATAATACATTTCTCAGAACTTTTAATACTGAACTCCTCCAAGGGCATGAAGACAGAAACAGTTCCCAGTCCAATCCTACATATATCCAGGGAGCAAAAGCCCTTGAGAGACACTAGCAAAGCTTCTCAACTCCTTATAGCCTCATCTGATTTATAATCCAAATGTATTTCTCTTGAATAAGCTAAACAAGGGAAGAAATGGATTTACAACTGACAGTCTATCAAGCACTACATTTTGAAATACAAGTCAAGAGTCTTAAGGGCTCTAAACCAGTTTCATAATGATGAAGGGTCATATAAACATACATCCACTGAATGGCAAGTAATAAAGATTTATATTTACTCCTGAAAATTAGATTAATGAAAAAATGTATTAAAAGAATGCCACAGATGATTAAAACGTATAGTTTTCTTTGTAAAAACATACTATGAGGAAAAAGACTTCAGGCAATAACATGCATTGGACTAATTAGGAAGAGAAAGTAGGCCATCTTACAAAAATCATACTGTTTAATCAGGCCATGAAAGCAATGCAAAAGGAGTAGCAGATCACTGCAAGTTGTTGAGTCAGATCTTTTAATTTCAGTAGGAGGCACACAGATCAAAGAAGGATTAGATTCTATCATAGTATCACACTGATGCCGTACATACGAAGAAAGTAGGGCATTTACACACACTCTCTCACTTTGGCGCTAAAATTTTAACACTGTTTCACAATTTGAAGATAAGTGCAAAAAGAATCTCTTGGCTGATCACCAAAGTCTCCAAGTTAAATTACTGTCTTCCTGACTAAGCTTGTCACACCCCAAAGAAGAACAAAAATATTTTTGGGGTAAATTTCTCAATCCAAGGTGTAAACTAACACATTTAAAACCTTTTTCCATTTTTCTGCCACACCCACATTCAGATAAACTACGCTGTGCTTTCTGCGGAATAAATAAACCCATTCTCCCATGCGTTCTGGGACTGTAATGTTTGGAGACACAGGGGAGGGAAAAGGAAGGGAAAAAAGCAGTGCTCTGGTATACCAACAAAATCTAGACAGACAGGCTACAGCTTCCTGAAAGCGAAAACGAAGCTGCCCAGATGGATGCTTAGTTCTAAGACAGTCTGGACCCATCCCAGAGCTAGAGTAACAGAGGCCTAAGGCTGCTGGAAAGCACTACGAGGGGATGTATGTATGACTTGAAAACAAAAACTGGTTTGAATTAAAGTTATGAACATATTTTAAACTGAAAGACAAAAAGGTTCAGAAGTTTTCCACTGTTGTTAATAAGAAACATAAATAGTTTAGCACCGAGGTGGAAGAACCATCTGCAAGAGAATGAGGAGTTTTACAGCTGTTGCCTCCACAAAGTGTTTCGAAAGTGAAAACTTGAAAAATCATAACAGCTTTATGAGTAAAGTGAGCTTACTCAGAATAGTTGAAAAGTAGTTATAGAAAAAGCACCACTTCAGCCATTGGAGAGCCCAAAACATAAAGGAAATCTTCAGCCAGATGTTCTATTCAGTTCACAACACACGAACCATTTTAGCTTAGAGAAGACTGAGCAAGATGATTCAGCCTGGAAAGACAGTGCTCTGTCTTCTAAAGTAGGGATGCTCTAAGTAATGATCTGCACCTGAAATTATCGGACAAACCAGACCAAGGGTGGGAGCAAGTCACTGAACTAGAACAGGATACACCTAATAGGGAACCAGCATCTGGTAAACCTCTGCCTATGAGACAGTTCCTACGAGAATTTCTCCCTATGAGAAAGACAGTATGAAAACACAGTGATAAATAGCTAACATCAGCAAGTTTGGAACTTTATTTTGGATAGTCAGAATACCATTTGAAAATTATCATGACTAATTTTTCTTGATGTGATTCCTGATGTATTTTGTTTTGACTTGTATAATTAAAATGCTAACACTTCTGTGCTGACTTTGTGGCTACAAAAGAGTAATGCAAACAGAAAAAGATAGAACCAGACATTTCTGTCTTGGCTTGAAATGAGCCAAGTCTGAGTTCTCTACTTATCTACACATGTCTACCTTTCAAAATTACAAGAGATGAAGTTGGTGCAGATTACATCATCATTTTTGTAAATTCAGCTTTGAATGATATAGTTGATTATATAAATAATGTAACAATATTTTTCTTTTATGGAAAGACTATAAATGTAAAAGCTTTCAGAGCTCTCAGACTTTATTAAAAAATGAATCCTGAAAAAAGTTCAGCATACAAACATGAATGTCCAAGGACATGTTTTACCTTGTTATGTCAACCATTCCCTTCAACAGTGAAATCAACATATATGCAGCCATGAAGAACATTCAAATATTCTCTTTTTTTCACCTAACTTTTGTAAGTATGTGTTAGAAGACTTGCACAGGACAGTGTCAGTGAGTAACTCATAAAAGTTTGATGAGTAACTTAAAATAGTCCTCAGGAAAGACAAAAAACCCTAGACATTAAATAATCTCCCTCCTCTGCATTCAAAATATCGGATACTAGTGTGCTTTGCTGCCTCAGCTCATCCACTTTCCTCCTTCTGTTATTTTTTGAAATAAAAATACAATATACATCCTATGCTTACAGTCAAAGGAATGACGTTTACTGCTTTAGGGACTGTTCTAGCAAGGAATCTATAAACTTTGTCCTCATTTCCACCACCTTTTTTGGTGGCTCTGCTACATAACACTAACTGCACAAACAGCTACACTAACATTTCCCTATATTTAATTGTATTCTCCTTCAACACAAAATAGGTTTCTACGAATCCTCCATGGAGCAGATCAGCTTGGCTGTACTTGAAGATTGATCCCCTCCTCCCCTCTTCATCCCTGTAGTGCTTCTCACTCCACTGAGTGCAGTTGTGTATGACTGCTGGTAGATGCATTTGGAAAATACCTGGAACCAGACAAGTGAAATTGTTTCTTATTTAAAACTGGTGCTTTTTGCTGATGCTTGCTTACCTCATTGTCTGACTCCACAAGCACTTGATCATATTCACTAAGAGCTACTAGGAACATGATAGATGTGACATTTTCAAAGCAATGTATCCATTTTCTTCTTTCTGATCGTTGGCCTCCTACATCCACCATTCTGCAAAATTAACATCTACATCAACTCCATGAATACCTTAACAGATAAACACACAAGCACACACACAATGACAAAATTCAAGAATTTAGTTGAAAACACAGTTTCGTTTGATTTTCCTAATGTTTTTTTTTCCACTGATGTTTAATGGAATCTGTTGTAAGTAGAAAGTTAATCTTATTTGCTTTTAAGTCTGACGTGTTTTCTGTATTTAAACTATTGTGGGTCTCAAAACTCCTCAGATTTCTGAGACACAAAGGTCTCATGAGCCATGATTCAGCAATGTATTCCCCATGTATTCAGCAGAAACAGATGTGAACAGAATAGACTTGGTGGTCTGTCTTTATCCCCCCAAATTACCAGAGTCAAAATTCCCAACTTGTTAAAGCTGCTCCGTTTTAAGATGACAAATAGAATACAATATGCATCTACCAAAATTTTTAGTAGCCAAAACTGAAACACAAATTTGCTTGCAGTGTATTCCCGCTTCATCCCATGTCTCAGTGTAACTGAACACAGGTGTCTAACTTGCAATTGCATAGTTATTTTTTAAATAACTGTACTTGCACTCTCTCTAAAAATCAACTACAGTAGAGGTAACTTCGTATTCCATAATTTACATGAATTACTCCTTATTATACGTCGACAATTACATTAAAACATATTGACCAAGCTCAAACTTTAAAAACACAGAATAATTGCTTTTTATGCACTTTTAACCAATATCCTATACACAGTATTACTAATGTAAAAGGAAACAAAAGAAAAAAAGAAGCAAGTGGGTGTTAAAACTTTTTTTCTACCTGAAAATGACGCTTTGTAAGTCGAATGGATATTCAATGATCCCTGTTGTTGGGACTCGAACTCTGAGCACATCTTGCTGAGTTGGCAGATAGGTGGAATCTGCTATGCGGTCCAAGTCATTAAGGTAACTATAGATGGGGAGAAACAACAGGAATGCAAGACAGTGACACCATCATCCCACCGAGGAAAAGAAAAAGGAAGACTTGGGAATGGAAACGGGCTGTGGGGTCGGAAAAAGTACAACAGAAAAAAGAGCATTATCGGCATAAAACAGGGGACTAAGTATAAAAATGTGCTCCATCCTCCCTTCCTGTACACTTTCATAGCTTCAAGTAAATCCTACAGAAGGGTAACATAATTATTCTGTTTTTTTCATAGAAGTTTGCTTGAATTTCACATGTAAATTCACCAAAGATTCAAAGTTTTCAATTACATAATTCTAGGCAATTTAGAGACAAATAATATTAAATGTGTGAGAAATATAAAATTGCACAGTTTTATTTGAATACATAACGTATTTCTTGATATTCATTCTGCACTGTCTACACAGATACATGGATAGACAAACATGAATTTCCCAAGGAACAGTGAGCTGCTATAGAATAGATCACTATCAGTTACAAAATGACAGGAGGATAAATGGTACTGTTTGGAGATTAAATAATAAAAAAAAAAAAAAAGAAGGAAAACTCTGTCCACGGGCAAATTTAAAAACTCTCCACACCTTGCTATCAGAAGGCAGCACTCATTATTTAGTGAGGTCTCTGGTACCTGAAAGTCCTGCATTCACACTGAAACTTCTGATTAAGTTAGTAAGCCTAGAGTTCATGAAATACACCCCCGTCCGTTAGCAAACAACCCGAAACGGCTATAAAATTGCTTGCAAATGTTCATTAACTACAACACAAAACTCTTCTGCTATTGCTTTTTGGTGGGTTTCAATTGCAAACCACTGGTGTACTGGAAGTTTTAATTAATTCTCCTAAAAGAGACGCCTCAAAAAAGAAGTGTACCAATGTGAGTGTGAGAGCCTGTTTGGGTCCAGGAGACAGACCTCTCATGAAACAAGTGCACTAGGTAGCTTGGGCTCTCTGAGTGGCAGATTCCTGGGAGAAATACTCCTTCAGGAAATTAAGTTCTTGGGCATTTGGTACTTCCCAGCACAAGAATGACCTAGAGTTAGGCACTGAGAAGATAAATTAACCTACGGATGTCCTCATTCATTCTAGGGGAGGAGAGCAATGGTCTTGTAATTTATCGAATTATGAGGAAGTATCACTAAACTCTGAACACGTTCTTTTCCCTGTACTTATTACTGACGGTGCTCTTTTTAAATAAACCCCCACAAGAAATAATTAGACTTCATCTAGATGCTCTGAATGATTTCTTAATGAAATAGTGACAGCAAATTATCCTGAACAATGACAGAAACAAAGCAGTTTGATTTCTACCTTACAGCAAAAATACATAAGAATCGATTTGTTAGGTCTGGAAGGGAGCCAAAAACGTTATAAAATCTCCCTCGCTATGATTTTACTCATGAAAGATTAATCCAATAGTAAACACTGAATGTGAGACAGTTACACAAAGTTAGAAAGACGTATTGAACCATATAATATATCTCAGATAATTCAGAAGCTACTAGTCTGAAAATATTTTCTGAGAACACTGATTAGTTTCTGCCAATAAGAAAAAGGCTTGGGAGTCGAGCACTTCACCTGCCCTCAGGCGTTTTAACAAAAAGCAGAATGAACAAGCACATCACCAGCTTGTTGTGGGGAAAAGAAAAGTATACACGAACGAAATCTGTAACTACCACAATAAGAAACTGTTAAGAGACCCTGAACTAGCTCTTTTTCCCTCTCACACCCCAAAAAAATGGTTTGGGTTTGTGACTGTATTTTGGAAGGGTACAAAGAAGCATTGTGGGTCATGACATGCTATAGTTGTATTCACAACAGCAGAATTTTAACTGTATAAATTGGGAGGTGGCCCATTTACACAATTGCCTGCAATGCTGCATTCCTTTAGCAAGCTTCAGCTGTGGTCTCCAACGTGAGCCTACTTATCGCACCCCTGTACCATCAGCACAGCGCACACGTTACTCAGATATACCGTAATGCACAGCCAGCTGATTTTAGAAAGGCAATAATGCAAAGGGATGTTATTAAATAGTTAAATCTCATTTGTGTTACTGGAAAACATTAAATGAGCAGATGAGTATTTTTTTTTTTTTGTCCTAACACAAATCACTGATGTCATTAAATTCCGGAGGAATTAATTTATCTTTAAAATACACTTATCTTTTCCTCATCCTATTTCAGTTCTGCTCAAGTTCTGCTCATTCAATTACCAAACAGCAACCTTCGGATTCATTTCACCCATACAGGCACCTTATAGAGCCTATATAGTCCGTAGAAGAGTCCTTATGTAGTCCTGTTTCTTTTCCTAGATTTCTTCACTTAACAGATCAAAGGATGTTGGGGTCTCTAAGAAGTGTTCTAAAATACGCATTCAAACCCAGAATCAAGGAAGCTGTGTCAAAACCAGAAATGAGTACCTCACAGAAAAAAAATAATCAGATAGCATGCACAAAATCCTTTAAAAGGAAAATCTTTGTGATACTGACAAATCATAACCAGAATCTACAGTCCAACAAAAGCTATTTAGACTATATCCTGCATTTTTTTCGAATAATGACATTTAGCCCCTACCACTTTACCTTCTAACTTAAAACTTATAAAACAAATTGTACCAATTTATTTAAATGAAAATGTCCCAGTTCTTTGTTGCATGACCATACTTTTAAGTCTTTCGTTATTGTTATTTTCATGCTGTGGGCATACATCAAATAGTCAATGAAATTCTATTTAAGTAGAAAAAAAATCTTTTTCTTTTAAGATTGTTTTTTTTTTTTTTTTTTTTTTTTTTTTAAAAAGAGGCACTTCTGCTGAAGAATTACTTGTGCTGGAATTCAGATTTCAATGAAGTTTGTGTATTGTTGCTCTGAAGCAAATCAGTAGATGTTTTCCGCTAGTGACTTTAACAGTTCTGCACATCATTTACACTTCTTGTTACCATAAGAGAATATGTGACTTGACATCCTGCTATCAACTTCATGAGGATTAAACACGTTTCTGAGAATCACACTGAAAGCTTTGCCAGCAGCAACACAAAGTTCCCTTCAAGATACTCTAAAATCACTAAAAATTCTTTAAGTCTCTCTTAAAATTCATGTAACCTCTACAACAAAGTAACAACAATTAATGAAAAAAATCTATGATCTTTGGGTAAGAACATGTATCATTGAGATTGTGATCAGGGTCTTTCTTTTCCATCTGAAGATTTTTGATATATTGCAGAAATGAATCATATCTCTTTCAGTCAGGTGCAACCTTCCAAAAATGCCCGTGAGAGCAAATCAACACACTTATGCTCAATACATTATCATGACTTTTGTATTAGTTGTATAACACTATACTTCTATGTCCATAGTACCACATAGACAAAAACCAAGACGTTTTATCTTCTTGAAGTACAAGAACAGATACTTGCATTGCACTAGGAGGGGTGGGGTGACAGTCTGATTTTTCTGCATAACTGATTTGTTGGGTTGACTCACTATTTCAAAATGCTGAGATGGAATATGTAAATGAATGCAGGTGACCATTTACATAAAAAGAAAAGACAACTGGAATACCATTAAGGACATACTACCAACGTACACAATTTTCACATATTACTATTATAGCTGTTCCGGTAATATTGACAATTTAGAATTTAATGTATTTGATTGATCATAGTTTAACTCACTGTCACAATGAAGACTTACGTTTTCAAATCTTCCTCATACCAAAAGGGTTGGAAATTTAGCTTTTGTTTTCCCACATGAAAGCTGGGGTTTAAAGAAATTCTCTGATCACCAGAGGAATGCAGGACTGCATGCATATGCTTTAAGCATCCTACAGTTTATTAAAATAACAACATACTTATTTTAAAATTAACCTAGCAAGCAGCAACTTTAAATAGAAACATCAAAACATGCTAGCTAATGCCAATTCTTTTCCACCTTCAACTGTGCTGGCTCAAGCCCCACTCTAGCTGCACTTCTGCCCATCCCCATCTGCCAACTCATGCTTGTGCAACGGCTTGGTAATACATTTCTGTCAAAATGATTTGGAACAGTAAAGAAACACTATTAAAATTGTTCAAATTAAGCTAGTTCATTTGATGGACACAGCCTGGGGTGTGGGAAGCCCACAAGCTCCAGCCGGAAAGCAGGGTGGTTACCTCCTCCACTAGCTTATCTGCAACCAGAAGAGGACGTATGAAGCCAGTGCTATGTGAAATGTCTTGAGTCACTAAATTCAGACGGGTAAGGAGTGAAAGAAAATAAAGAGTTTTACTTTTTTTTTTTTTGTTTATCTGCTTATTAAAAACCAGATTCTCCATGGCTTTGAAGCACTTATCTAATGCAGCCCTAAACAAAGCACTGACAAATACATCGTTCACCTAGGCAAACATCCTATGCACATACAAAAGATTTAAACACTTAAGACATGCACAGGGTATTTTAGGGTAAATGCCTAACTCAGAATGTATGCACAAATACTGCAATCAGCCTTTGCAATGCAACTAACTTTTCAGTGTGTACTAGAAATGGCTACACATTCACTTTTGCAAACAAACCGCAAGACTTGTCATAAACATGAACTTCCACAAGAAAAGTGTTGCCAACAATTGCCCAAACCAGATGTTTCCTTAGTTTACTAACTTCAAAATTTAAAATCATAATAACGCTATGGATATTGGAAATACCCTGGCAGCTGTTCTGAGGGCTTGTCCAGAAGTGGGTAACCACCAGCGTCACCACGGGGAATTCAGTTGCACAGCCGCACAAGCCACTTAGGTCTCAACTATATGGCACTCTGAGTTTATTTTTACCACCTGCTAAGAAATGTTTTACTTTGGTGAGGCACACTGTAGCTATAGGGCCTCGCACCCAAACAGCACCTACTCAGCTAGGCATTATACAAAGGAACAAAAAAATTCGAAAATTGCATAAAACCACTCAAAAAAAAAAAAAGCGCCAAACCACATCGGTCTGAGTAAATTTACAGTACAGACC